AGTCCTACTTTGGCCAAGGAGGCTCAGAGAGCTTATGTAACCTGTCCAAGGTCATCAGCTAGTAAGTGACAAAGCACAGGTCTTTGTTATCCGAAAGCCCGTGTTCCTTCTCTCACATTTGACTTTATAGCTAAGGCAAGAACCATCAAACTTTCCTGGGTCTCGGTTGTCTCACGCACAAGATGGGAGGAATGTTGCTTTTCCCTCTTACTCCACAGGGCTGTGGTCTGGGTGAGATACAATCATGGAGGTTTGGGTGCTTTGAAAACTGCAGAGAGACTCACACATACGATGCTCACTGTCTCCCCTCAGGATGACAGACCAGTTCTCTGCAGACAAGTATTATGGTCTGCACAGCTGTGTGGGCATAGAGTAAATACTCAACAAACATACGGGCTGAACCCAAGAGGGGTGTGGTGGGCAGGACCCCGAAGCACTGACGTGAGGTTTCCTGCCACCCCCAGATGGAGGCAGTAGGCGACCCTACTTGGGGTGGAGTCAGGAAGAAGGGGGAGGCCCTCAGGCTTGATAACCTGCCCGCTTCCTCTGCCACCCAGCCACATCAAAGTGGGATAAACTGTTTCCCTCATCTCCATGGCAACTAACTCCCCAAGGCTCCATGGGTGGAGGGCCCAGCTCCCCAGGTCCCTTGTCATCTTCTCCCTGTGACCTTGCCAAAATCCATCTATTAAGCGAATACCACCCCAAACCCTACTGTCCCCCGCAACGGGAAATCAATACAGGCCAGCATTCATCCTCACAAACGGCTGAGAGGGAGACATTCATATACGCCCATTTTTACAGATGAGGAAACTGAGGTTCCTATGATGTTAAATGTCTTGCCAGAGGCCCCACAGCCCCAGGATTTGACACGGCGATGGGCTAGTACAAAGTGCTGGTAACCACCAAGTGATTCTGCCTCAGCCTCTCCCCAAGAGCTCGTCGCGGGGCCTCCATCCCCGCCCCTCTCCCTTTCTCCTATTGCCTCTCTCAGCTGGGGTTACTGGAGATGCAGCTACTCAGCAACAAGGCAAAACTATTACCACGTGCCTTTACAAAACTCACACCAAAGCACTTCCTAACTAGCCCACTTAAGGGTTACGTAAAAGGAGCTAATTTGGTTTAATTTACTACTTGCTATTCATGAGGGCTCAGGTTCTGTGAAGTTAGAGGTTCACTTGTGGATGTGAGATGAGTAATTTTTGCTCACTATAAAGGATAACTTCAAAGGATTTTTTCCCCTGTATGATGTTTTATTCCCCCATATGATGTTAACTAATTTTGTATCTAATTCTGCCACCTTTTTGTGGCTTACATGAGAAATTTATTTCAGTTTCTCATACCCTCCTTTAAACCAGCCCTCCCACCTTGCCGGTCCCCTCAGTAACGAACTGAATGCGTTTTGACACAGGCTCGCTATACATTTGTACGAGTGCTAGGTTTTTTTTTTTAACTGTTTGAAAATGACTCTCTGACACAAGAAAGAGCTAATGGTTTCCTATTTCGGTTCTGCTTTCCCTGGAAGAGGAGGCGTTCCTGGCATGAACAGCCTGGCCTGAGCGTCCCCCTCCAGGCATTTGCTTCGGTCCCCAGCATACCTGAGCCCTCACATGGTCCCAGGGGCAAGGTCCAGGGGAAGACCCTCAGCAGTGAACGACTAGGGTGCCAGGAGTCCTCCCTGCTCTGAGTCCAAGGACCCTCACTCCATTTCCATCTCCAGTTGCTGCTCTGCCTGGCTCATGTCCCCCAAGCCTAGAACCCCACGTCCCCGAGTCCGGGCCTCCCCACAGCCCGCATCCGCCCCTTGGCCCCACATCTGCTCGCTGGGGGCTGCTCGGAGCTGAGTTCCTGCTTAGCTGCCCACAAAAACATCTCAAGGCATAGCGTGCATCCAGCTGAGGGGAGACAGCTGGTTCCACTTGAAACTGGGAAGCGGTCCCCCTGCACGCAGGTGACAGAGAGCCCTCCCCCAGGACAACCTCTCCTTTACCCATTTCAAAGTAAACTCATTTAGATCTTTGGTAGAGACTGAAGGTCCTGCCAAGGCATTTGCATTTTAAATCCTTTCTGTCTCATTATAGAAAGGAAGAAAAGCTTTGCGTTCTTGTTAAAGGAATTCTGGTCACCAGCAAGAAGCCCAGACGTGATCTAGATCTGTTTGTTTGGGGGGTGGGTAGCAGGGAGCAAGGGAATGAGATTAAATTGGTTTGTTCATTTAGGGTGCCTGGGAAAGCTAGGTTGCCTGACTTGTCTATTCACCATGTGTCTCAGCACCTTTCCTAGTCCAACCCCTTCTCCTGAAGGCCTTCCTGATTTCTTAATGCTTCCACCCAAGTCTCTACCAGGAGGTAAGGTCCATGTAATGGGTAGACTTTGGCTACCCTAGCCTATGCCTGTTCAGCTCTTAGAGCCTATAACAACGGACAGCTGACTGGCTGGGGGAAGACAGATCAGCTGATTGGTTAGGCAAACAGATCAGTTGATGGTTGGCAGACGACAGATCAGCTGATTGGTTGGGCAGACAAATCAGATGATCAGTTGGGGAAGGAAGTCATAAACCTCTCCAAAGGAATTTTCATATAAAGCTTCAGGCCTGTGCTTTCTAGGGTCCCTGAATCATTAGGGAATAAGATTTGGTACTTCTGTCCTGTGTGTATTTAATGCACATGATGAGACTTAGACACTCCCAATACTAAACAGGGTCTGGTGCATACACAGATTTAAAAGAAAAAAAAAAAAAACGGGATTACAACATACTTAGTATGGCGGGGGGGGGGGGGCTGCCTTTTTTTTTTTTTTGCGGTACGCGGGCCTCTCACTGTTGTGGCCTCTCCCGTTGCGGAGCACAGGCTCCGGACGCGCAGGCTCAGCGACCATGGCTCACGGGCCCAGCCGCTCCGTGGCATGTGGGATCTTCCCGGACGGGGGCACGAACCCGTGTCGCCTGCACTGGCAGGCGGACTCCCAACCACTGCGCCATCAGGGAAACCCCGGTCCTGCTTTTTTACTCAACACGTTACTCAACATCTTTTCATCTCAGTAACCTTATTTCTATGATCTCATTTTTAATAAGTGAGGCGGATTCCACCAAATGACTTTGCTACGATATATTCAACTATGTACAATATTTAAGTTTTTTGGAATTGGTTATTAAAAAGAATGCAGCAATGAACATCCTTGTAGCTAGGCTCATGTAACCTATTTTTCTTCCATTACTTTTATGGTCTTTTTTTTTTTAAATTTTATGGTTTTGATTTCCACACTTAAACATTTAATCCATCTGAAATTTATTTTTATGTTTGCAATAGAACTCAATTTTTTTTTGAGATAGAATTTTAAACCCCTCCTTTTTTTGGTCTGTCAATTACCTTGATACCATTTATAAAATGACCAATTGTTTACATCACTGATTTGAGGATGCTGCTTTGCATATAATACATTTTTATACATTTAATCTGTTCCTTGCTATTTTATTTAGTTCCATTAATTTTCTATTCTTATACCAACAGTGTACTATTTTAATAACTATAGCCTTACAGTACTTTTAAAGACCTAGTAGAGAACCATCCCATTCTTACTCTTCCTTAAGCATACATAAGTACCTAATAAATCCTACTGTAGAGCATTTATTCTGTCCAATAGACTTTATTTTGTTAAATTAAAAAAATATTATTGGTATTTTTGACTGCACTTACATTTATTTCCATAATACCTGATGTTATTATAATATTGATTCAACCCAGCAATGTCTCTTAAACTTTTTATCCTTCAGTAAAGTTTGTTTTCTCTATGTAGGTTATTCACGTCTTTACCTTATATTTTTAGTTGCTATTGTAAATTTTTTTTTCCACATTATGTTTTCTTACTGGTTGATGCTATTATAGAAGAAAGCTCTTAGCTACCTGATTACTAGTCTGACAGTGCTTTGGGTTATTCTCTTAGTCTTGACGGAAAAGCAATTGTTTGATCTCTATCTAATTAAAATTTTATCTTCCTGAAAGAGGAAATATTCTTTCTTTCTTTCTTTCTTTTTCATGGGCAAAATACCTACAAGCACGAAGAGGAAGATTATTGACTTAATAATGGAAACGCTGCTAGTTGTTACCTTATTAAGGTTGTTACCTTATTAAGGACCCTTCCATATATTAATAGTTTCCACATATTAGAGGGGCTTTGAATATCAGGAATGGATGTTGAATTTTTTTTTCACTTTTTTTTACCTTAAATATTTTTATTTGGAATGGATGGAAGTTGAATTTTATCTAACATTTCAGAGGCATCTACTGGGATGTTTGTGTGACTTTATTCCTTTGAGCTACTGATGGGATGAATTACTCTACTACGGGACCACCTCTCAGTAAATCATACCTGATTGTGTTTTTCTGGCTCTACAATAGTTCTCTTAGACCTCATTTTCACGTCTGCTATAGCACCTGCAACTTCTCAAGGACTACTTTTCAAGATCCACATATGAAAACTTGGACAGTACCTGGCCCTTGCCCACACTTGTCGTGGTGCCCATCTACCTGTTCATTCCTGGTACCAGCCACCTTCCCCGGCCAGAACTGAGTCCATTCACACATGCATCCCGCTACGTGTTCCGGGGTAAAGAGAACAAACAAGGGCCTCTTGTCAACATTGTGTGTGGGCTTCTCTGTCTGACCTGGGCAGCCTCAGAGACCCCCCCCCTGGCTAACCAGAGCAGAGGCACAGGCCAGGAGGCGGGGTCTCCTTGCCCTGAACCCCTGCTCAGCTACCCCTAAGAGTCCCTCCTTGGGTTACTGCCGGTGTTTGCTGCCGTCAGCCGTCTGATGCTGATGCAGACACAGAGCACTAGAACCATGAAAAGGGACTCCAGGCTTGTGACTCCAGGCCACGGGCAGAGACGAGCTGCACGATATGAAGTGAGGGGGGTCACAGCCAAAGCCCAGTTTCAGAAAAGCCGGAAACCTCCTGACCGCATGGTCCCTGCCCCACGTGTGTGCCACCTCCACACTTACCTGGGGCCTTCAGTTCAGCATCGATGAAGGTGAGCAGCTCCTGGCAGATGCTACAGTAAGGAACGGGCCAGGTCAGGAATCGGTGGTAGGTTTTGGCTGCTTTCAGAAGGAGATCTGAGTCTGGTGGGAAGTGTGGAGTCTGGGATGGAGAGGAAGCGGCAAGCAGAGAGGTCCGGGTCAGAGAAAGCTCACTGATATTCCAGAGCAGACCCTGCTCCTTTCTGGAATGTTCCACAAAGGGCACACGTTTCCTGGCAGCAGTGTGTCCCAGGACGAGGGCAGGCAGAATTGAAAGTTACCCACAGGAAGTGAGTTACAGATGGGCAAGATGGTGCCCAAGGACGTCTCTACTACAGGGGCCTTGTTTTCACCAAACATAACAATTTACCAAATACACAAGAGGGCCTCTCTGAAAAGCTGTCACCTTGGAGGTCATCCTAGATGGTGCCACTGCTGCCACTCCTTTCGAGGAATGGTCTTCAATGCCTAAACCGCCTTCACTTAAATATCCTCACGAGAGGCCAGTGTTTATTCTTTGAAGTGGACCGACTCAGTGTACGTGGAGTCATTTGATGCCACTGGTCTGGTGAACAGGGGGTGACGGCAGTGGGGGAAACTGAGCACTGCGGTACAAAAGGAGGTGGACATCACATGTCTTTAACAGAATCTCTCCTGCGGTTTGTGAAAGGGCTGTGACCGTATCCCCTGCATGGGTGCCCAGATACTCCAGGCACGACGGCATCCACGTGGACTTACTGGAGGCCTCTCAAATGGCTATTCTGAAGCCATCAGAGGAGTGACACCCACCTGAAGTGTCACTGGTGGACAGTTTCTCTCTCTGCGTGTTTATCCTCTGAGCTGTGAGGGCTCTGCCCCCTCCATGGAGGCTGTTCTCCCTCTCCTCCCCAACCTCCCCCAGCCTGGCCCAGCCGGAACTTACACAGAGGACAGTGGAGTAGAAGAGCAGAGCCAGGGGGGCGAGGAGGTCATAGGTGCCCTTCTCTTGGACCTGTGAGGGGGACAGGAGGGGGGCAGGCTCATCACAGGTGCACCACCAAGCACTGCTCTCTTCTCTATTTCTTTCTTTTCTTTTTCTTTTTTTTTTTTAAGTGAAAAGTAATGTAATCACAAGACAAACATTTAGAAAATAGAAGTAAAAAAAAAAAAACCCACGATATCCCCCTTCCAAACTCAGCCACAACTAATATTTCAGTGTACTTCTCCTTACACCATTTTTCTCTGCGTAGTTTCCTCTGCAAAGTTGTATATTTTTACTCTTCATGTCTTTTACGTACAATATTATAAATGGGTTTATACATGTATAAATCCAATATGTATAAATGGATTTATACATCATCATCTATAAATCCATGTATGGATTTATACATACATCATCTATACATCATCTCTAAGACCATATTTCCCCCCCTCCTAGTTACACATTTATCTATTATTTGTATTGTAAATATGTTTTCCGGTTTGTTGTTGGTCTTTGAATTTTCCGGATTTTTTTTATGTACATAACTTACAAGCGTTAGCTTTTTCCTTTATGGATTTTCACTTTTGCATGCAAGGTTCAAGTAAATATTCATATATGGTTTTTGTTCTTTTCTTGGAAGCTTCACTTTCTTAAATTTAAACCTTTAGTCCACCTAGAGTTCTGTATAATACGAATTTGGAATTTCACTCCATATTTTTGGAAACGTTTAATCAATTTTCCCTAAACCATTTAATAAATTTTAACGATGCAATTTGTTTTGGCAGCTCTGCAGGCTTGCAGGAGCTTAGTTCCCCAACCAGGGACAGAACCCGGGCCCCAGCAGTGAAAGTGCTGAGTCCTAACCACTAGATCACCAGGGAATTCCCCGCAATTTTTTAATATATTAAATTTTGTTTCTACCCTTGGATACTATCCATCATTTTTATTACCTATATAATACTCCCTCTGGTAGAGCTCCATAATTTATTAGCTTTAGACATTTGAGATTATTTTCTTGCATTTTAAGTACCTGTGCAGTGAAAATCTTTGTGTTCACTCCTTTTTCTATAATTTGCATTATTTACCTTGGATAGAGCTCAAGAAGTGGAATGAGTGGATACAAGACTGTAAACATATTTACGATCTTCGAAATGTATCGCCAAGTTGCTTTCCAAAAGAATTTTGCCATTTATCATACTGTGTATGTATGAAAATGCCATCTCACTACACCCTTCCCTGCAGTGGTTATTCTAATGTTTTTGCGAATTTGCTAGGCAAAAGCTGTGTCATTATGGTTTTCATTTACATTTCTTTTACTATAACTGAAGCAACATTTTCCATATTGTTTAAAAGTTCTATTGATTCTTTTGTGAATCATCTCTTTGATAAAGCTCACCCACCACACCACGAACGAGCACGTATAGACACAAGTTAGAATTCTTTGGTTAAAATACTAGCGGTCTCCCAACCCATCTGGAATTCATGGGTGTTGAAGAAGCAGAGGAAGCCCCACCACCTCTGCTGTGCCTGGTGACGGCAGCAGGATCAAATAGAATTCTCCTTCACGGTCCTGAATAGACCATGTGTCCCGTACACTTGCTGCTTGGCCCCTTCTATAAAACCCTCCCCCTGTTGCTATACAGTAGTTGTTCCTTTATATTTGGGTTTATAAGGTAAGCACTTCAGAGGTGCTTTAGCTCTTCTGAGTTGGTCTCCTTGTGATCAGCGTATAAAAGCACCAGGTAACTGGTGGCGCCAGAATTGAAACCTTGGGTGTCTTGATAAACCAAGACTTTTTTCTTAGAGGTAAAGGGACAGCTGAGAAAGACGTGCGTTTTCCAACTCAGTCATGTATTTAAAAATACAGATAAAACATCTTTAGGGACTCGTGCCTGTTCTGGAACCCCAGCCCAAATCAAGTTTGTTTTCTTGTTGTTGTTTTTTAATTTCTTTTGGCCACGCGGCATGTGGGAGCTTAGTTCCCTGACCAGCGATTGAACCCGTGCCCCCGGCAGTGGAAGTGCAGAGTCCTGACCACTGGACGGCCTGGGAAGTCCCCCAGATCTGCTTTCAACACGCTCTTCTTCTGAGTCATAAAGGCCTGTTTACTGAACTGTTAGAGGAGGTCTCGGTTTACCTCTCCAATCAGTTTTCTCTTTTGCATCTTTGTTTTCTCTTTGCATCTGCGTCTTTGGGGGGAAAGGAATTCGGGAGCGCGTCCTCCCTCCCTTGTAGTCGACACCTTGACTTACAAGCAATGTCTGTCTTAAAAAGCAGCTTAAACTGGGGACCCTGGCTCACCCAGCACATGTTCATAGCAAAAGGACCACGCCCCTTCCTGAGGCCTTCAATCCACAAACACCATCGAAGCAGAGAACTCAGGCTGCCAGTGCTTCCACCAAGCCCCCCTGGTGGTCCAGGCACCCCAGAACTGCCATTCTGTGGGGACCTATTTCTCGACTCTATGAGACTGATCCCAGCGCTGCCCTTCAAACCCAGGCCGAGCCCTCACCTCGCGGGTTTTCTGCAGGATCTGCTCCAGGAGGATAAGGAAGTGGCCTGGATCCCTGCTGACCAGCTCCTGCAGGCTCCAGCAGTTGAGACACAGCCCAGCTGCAAAGGGAGGGAGAGGCCAGGGGTCAGTTGTGGGTTGGAGGGAAGTGGCAATTCCTGGGGCTGCACTGGGGCATTCCCTTCTGAAGTAAGAGTCTCAGGAAATTCTGGATCAACACACTCGACCCTATGATGCCCCATCAAGATAATGATAAGTTTCTTCTTCCTGCATAGACAGGAGGCGTAAGAGCCACAGAGAGGGGCTGGGATCTCCCTCAGAAGCCAAGGACTGGCCACGACTCTGCTCCCTGTGCCTCTGGAGAGCACCAGCTTTCCCACATCCTCCGAGATGCAGCGAAGGGGCACAGAAGCAGAGATCGCCACCCCAGGACACAAGGCTGAGTCTGCAACAGCCACGGGACCTCCCGGAACTGCTGGGCAGTGGAGCCCGGGAATTTTGAAAGCTATGAGGAGCACTTTGTCACTCTGTAACTTCCCCAGACTTTCTTATTTTTGTCAATCTCTGCTTCCCTGCAGTCAGCATGGGTAAACTCCCCCCAAATTAAAGAGGCAGTCACAGAGGTCTGTGGTCTCTCTGTGTGTGTGTGTGTGTGTGTGTGTGTGTGTGTGTGTGTGATGGGGAATGAGAACAGTGGGGGTGGAAGTGGCCCCCTCATGTGCACGAGCTCCTTCTGAGGGGCTGCAGGCCCCAAGCAATGTGTTCATATGGTCACGGGTTTTAGTAAAATTTGCTATAGTCAGATATTTTTGTATTCTTTGACTTGATGGCCCCTCAATTCTAGAAGCTTAGTCTCCTTAAAACCTGGGTAGGAGGCCAGAAGGAAGAAAACTGTCATTTAGTGACCACCTACTATGTACCTCTAAGGTGCCAGGCCTTTCACACATCACCTCCATTGAATCTCCCATCCCCCCCTCGGGAAGGTGGTTCCTGCTGTTATTATTCTCATTTTACAGGCAAGGCAGGTGAGTCCTGAGAGGCTAAGGGACTTGCACAAGTTCCTACAGCCAGTGAGAGACAGTTTTAAGTCAGATCCGCTTAATTCCAGTGGCCAAGGAAAGCCTCTGAGGGGAGGGGACATTTGAGTTGAGACCTGAATGAGAAGGGGCCAGCTCTGCGTCGTTCTGAGGGAAGAATTCCAGGCAGCAAGTGCAAAGGTCCTGAGGTAGGAAGGAACCAGTTATGTTCAAGGAGCATGGGTATCTACCTCGTGGGGTAGTTAGGGAGGCAAGTGAGGCGCGGAAAATCTTTTTGAGCGTAAGGAGTTACTAAGTTAATCTCTAGCCTTGGAGACAACGGCCCCAGCCTACAGATACCCCTGTTTCTCAGTCCTGGGGATCATGTAACATGGAGGCCTCCTATCCCCTGAAGTTCTGCTGAGATTCTCCTTTGTTCTATGAGGAAGAGGAGGATGGGGCTGTGGAGAGAACGAGATACCAGGAAAACAGGAGGATTCTGGGGAGAACTGTCTAGAGATACCCAGCTGCTCTTCTGAAATCAGCAGTGTGGCATTTTTAAGCTAGTCCAGTGCCTTCTTCAGGGAGCTAAGCTTCTAGCTCACGAGGAGGATGAGGAAGGCTGCCTGGGGGAAAGGAGAAACTGCCACCCACCGGGGGCCACTCTCCATCAGCTGCTGTGCTGAGCACCTGCCCAGGTGAGGTCCGCGGAGTCACACACGCAGGGCTGGAACCAGAACCTGCCAGTTCCGTGCCTGAACCGGTGCTCACCACAGCCCCCGCAGCTCCCCTGGGCCCCGGATGCGCCTCCCCGGCTCCCTGGGACCTACCTGACCAGGAGGTGGAGCGGCGACTGAGGCTGAGCCCGTGCAAGCAGCGCTCCAGGGCGTGCTGGATGCGGTCCTCCGTGCACGTCGTGGCCCCTGGCTGCATCCTGAGTCATCGCCTGCATGGGGGACAGACGCTGGTCGGCCTGGAGAACCCCGGACTCGAGAAGCACATGGCCTAGCAGGGCAGCTGGCAGAGACAGCGGGCACTCACAGCCGGTGCCGTGAGCCAGCTGCCTCCGGGGCTGGACCGGCTCCTGGGCTCCTGGCGGTGCGGCTCAGAACGGCAGGGCACGCCTGTGGCCCACCAGCATAGGCTACGGGAAGTGAGGGGTGGCGGGGGGGAGTGGAGAGGTGCGGCCCTCCCTCCCTCCCCGCCCCCACCCCCGGCAGGGGTGAGTGGCTGCAACAGCCCAGGGAGTGCCCGTGGCGTGACCAGACCCCCGTGCTGGGCAGGAGGACCTCAAAGGAAAAATCAGGATCACGTGGGGGACTTTCTCTGAATTTCCAGGCCTGCGTGCCCCACCCCTCAGGGATGGCCATGAGCCTGGTCACAGAGCTCCCCGCCAGTGCGCCGGGGGCTCTGATGCTCGGGCCCGGCAGGGGCTGCCTTCACACATGCCACACCTCCACCCCGCCACATCCTCTGCTTGGGTGCCCAGGCCACAGGCCCCTGGTCCTTTTCTGCCCTCACCTCCACTTCGGCCATTTTTCTTTGCTGTCTCCGAGGCTTAGCAATGTTACCAGTTATTCAAAGACCTTGCTTGGCTTGGTCTTTCAAAGAACCCCCTTCTGGGAATTCCTCTGGGAACTCCCTGGCGGTCCAGTGGTTAGCGGACGCCACGCTCTCGCTGCCGAGGGCCCGGGTTCAATCCCTGACTGGGGAACTGAAATCCCACAAGCCATGCGGCACAGCCAAAAAAAAAAAAAGAACCCCCTTCTTTCCCCCGTCCTACTGAGGAGAGAGCCGGGGTGTTTAGCTCAGGCTGGAGGGCTGCTGTGGAGGAGATCTAAGAAGGGGTTTTAGCACCAGGTAGGGAACCATGCCAAGGGCCACATTCTGAAAGCCTCCAGCAGGGCCAGCCCAGCTTCACAGTGATGTGTCGGGGCTCCTGGGTCTCTCAGGAAGCTGTGACAGGTAGTGCAGTGCAGCAAATAATCCTGGCCTCTGGCATCAACAGACTTGGATTCAGATCTCAACTCTGGTATTTGCTAGCCATGCAAATGGGCAGTTTCTTTAAACTTTTCTGAACCTCAGTTGACTGATCTGTAAAATGGGTGTGACGATGGTACTAACCCCCCAGGGCTGTTGGGAAGATTAAATGCCACAGTGGATGTGCTGAGCGAGCTTTCAAGACACAAAAGCTGGGACTTCCCTGGTGGCACAGTAGTTATGAATCCGCCTGCCAATGCAGGGGACACGGATTCGAGCCCTGGTCCAGGAAGATCCCACATGCCGCGGAGCAGCTAAGCCCATGCGCCACAACTACTGAGCCTGCGCTCTAGAGCCTGTGAGCCACAACTACTGAAGCCCGTGCGCTTAGAGCCCGTGCTCCGCAACAAGAGAAGCCTCTGCAATCAGAAGCCCGCGCACCGCAACGAAAAGTAGCCCCCGCTCACCGCAACTAGAGAAAGCCCGCGCGCAGCAATGAGGACCCAACGCAGCCAAAAATAAATAAATTTAAAAAAAGAAAAGAAGACACGAAAGCTCTCCTGTTACAGTCTTTGCCACAAGCCCACTTTCCCTTGGGAATTTCACTGCGTTCACCCCGTCCAGGCAGACTCCCATGGCTCGCCGGTCAGGCCAGGTCATAGAAGGAAGTCGAGGAAGCAGTGGTCCAGCTCTGTGGAACAGGGGATGGACCAGGAAACCACAAGCAGAAGCACAGAGCTCAGAGCTGAGCCATGCAAACGACATGCAAAGAGCTAGGAAATCCTACCCCGGACCCAGTACGCAAAACCTCCTACTTCCCCAGCCAGGGAGGAACCAGGCACCCAGAGAAACAGAAGCCCTTTGTGAGCTGCCCAGCATCACTTCACTTCGGTGATATCCCTGGGATGGCATGGGGGTGGGTACACGGAAAGCAGCACGCATGCGTTCATTCTTCCATGGATTTACTAACTCCTTACTATGTGCCGGGCACTAACGACACAGCAGTGAATGAAGCAGGCGTGCCCCGTGGTAGGAGACAGAGACAGGGGATGACCTAACAGACGAAGAAAGAGGTCACGGCAGAGGGGGATATACGCTGAGAAGAAAGTGATGGTGCTGGGAGGGGGCCAAGTGGGGGGCCCCCTCCAGGTCATTGGGAGGTCAGGAGAGCCTCTCAGAAGGGACCTTTTAGCTGGATGAGGAGGCCAGGAGAGAAGTGAGGGGGAAGAATGTTCCAGAAAGAGGAGGCAGCAGGTGCAAAGGTCTGGGTGCAGGAATGGACCTGCCACGGGCTGAGACCTGGAGCACGGGGCCCAGGACGGAGCAGCCCCCCAGGCCACCCACCCTTCTGCGGCTGAGGTGGCAGACTGAGATCAGAAACACTTTCACTGGTGAGTCAGGGCCATGGACCTTGGGTGTTTCCATTAGTGGCACCTGGATGTCCAAAGACGTCCTTGGGCCCTTCTAGGGCAACTTTCGTGGTCACCTTAGGGCCTTCTGTGTGCCAACTCTTTGTGTGCAGTCCAGACAGGGGGTCTGTGACCCTGAGCCACACCAGGCAGACATCAGGCCCCTCCTCCCCGGGTGTGCCGGTGCCCAGCATGGATGCGTGTCCCTGGGCATGAACACTCAGGATGCGGCCTCGTCCGTCTGCCTGCAGTGGACACCCAAGTGCAAGACACTCTTGAGCTCGGTCCTGTGCAGGCTCAGGGCCGACGGCACCCACTGGAGGAGCTAGAAGACCAGGCACCTTCAAAAGGATGAGTTTGGAGCGTAAGTGGCTGGCCCAGATGTCATCAGCAGGCCTTGGTCCCCACAGGTTGATTCATCCCCGATCAGCCCCCGGGGCGGTGCTCAGAGGAGGAGGTGAGACCCAGAGAGCCTAAGGGGCAACCCCGGGTCCGGGCGGGGCTGGGAGAATCAACGCCAGAAAAAATCGACTAGGATATAAAGCAGGACTTCCGAAATCCCAAATGGCAGGGAAGGTGCTCAACGACCCACCTGCTAAAGTGCTAAGAGTCACCGTGAGCTGTCAGGGCCGGGGGCCGGCGACCACGCTGGGGGGTTGCCGGGAGGTACGGGTCCAGAACTGGTACAGCTGCCCACTCCGCAACCCCCGTCAATACAAGAGGACTGGGAAGAGAGGAGGGCTTGTCGACCATTCCAGAGGGTCCTCCTTTCTCTCCCCAAGGCCAAGGGCAGAGGAGCTTAAAAAGAATCCCTTATTCAGACGGGACACCTGCCAGGAGGGGATGCTGCCCTTTTGTTCTCAGCTCACTCTCTATCCAGACAGCAAACCTACTTCTGGGCTACCTGGGAGCCATGGGAGGGCTAAGAGGAGCGGAAGGCGCGGCTGGCAGGCTCCCTGCTGGGCAAGGCAAAGATGTGAGCTCCTTGCGGAAGGGTGGAGGTGGCGGTAGATACTTGGATGAAAAGCTAGACTTGAGCTGTTTTGTTGATTCTTCACCGGGAGGGCCCCCAGCCGGGTGAGGGAAACGCAGCAGTAAGAGGCTGAAGGTCGGACCCCCTTTGGGGGAAGCTGGAGGGCGCGTGGGCACTCTGTGGCACAGAGAGGTTAAACAACTTGCCTAAGGTCACACAGCTAGGAGGCGGCAACGCAGGGAGTCTGGCTCTGCCTGCCGCTTGGCACAGTCAGATGCAGTTCCTGGGAGACAAATAAAACTAATTCATGTTTCTACCCCAGCGAGCGCAGGCTCAATCAGCTAACATTAATTAGGAGCCCTGCGTTCCCGGTCGCTGGGAATCTTGAGCCCGCCACGTCTGTCTATGCCAGCTGTCCACTGCAGCCCTGCCTCCTCCAGAAAGAGGACCAGGGCCCACAGAAGCAACAGTCTAGGCTGGACCAGGCGATGACCATGGTGGCTTGAGGGGCCCAGTCATTCTCTAGCTCAGAGCGAGGGCTGAACCCTGTGAACTAGGTTTAAAGATCCCTCTGCCCGGTCTCTGCTGCGACAGACAAGTTGGCTGTGTCACAAAGCAGGAATGAGTCACCCTGCCCTGTTGTGTCGCAGTGTAACTGAGACAAAGGCAAGATGCAAATGCACATCCTCAGCTGCTGTCACTCCTGCTGCAGCCCTCTCCTTAGAGCAGCATCCTGGGGCCGCTGCAAGCAGCCTGTACAGGCTAAGGGCTGCTCCCCAGCACGCGCCCCAAGGCCCGTGGCCCACGCATCTTCCCTTCTCTGGGCCCCGAGCAACATTCCCATCTCCTGGCCTCAGTGTCCTCTGCCGTTCATTGGAGACGATCAAGACCTTACCCTTTGGCACTGGGCAGAGTTCCCGGGGTGCCCCCGCCTCCCTGGCATCCTGAGGCCATCTAGAGCTTGCCCTGGGTCTTCAGAGAGGCTGGACTTGCCCAAGGCGCTAGGCCGTGGGAGCCGAGGGATGGGAGCCTGGCCGGGGATCCTCAGCTGAGCTGTCCTGGGGGTAAAGCCAGCACCCCGCGGCTCGCCACCTGGCCCTCTGGCACGCTCATTTCTGTTTGATGAGTCAGTCATCAGCCGCTTCTGTCAGCAGAACCCCCGTGGCTTTGGGGCGGAGATGAATGGGGAAGAGGTGGCACCCCTCCCTCCCCAAGGATGATGCCTTTTCTCAAAGCCTTGGTGGGCAAGGCCTGGTTTCCCCTGGCATCCCCCTCCCAACCCCCGTTGCCACCTTACTAAAAGGAGCTCGAGTTGTGAAATTCCAGCTGCTGCCAGGAATGGGAATGCCCCCCGCCACAGTGGGGTAGTGTTGAGACATTCCACAACGGGGCCTGCTGCCACCTCCAACTTCCTCCTCTGAGCCAGTAAGGATGAGTCCTTACTGGGGACCCTGAACAGCACAGTGAGTCCTGGAGCTGGAGGGGGAGGGGGTTGGGGGAAGGGGGTGCCCAAGGGCAGAGGGAGACCGCCTCTTCACACGTTGACATGACCTGTGATGCAAGACAGGGGTCATCTCCCCTCCT